TATCAAACAATCATTGCTCGAAGCACTAAGTTCAAGGCACATTGGAAGGAAACATTAAACAAACAGGTTTGTTATCACTTGGTAGAAGACACTTAAATAGCTAAGTTATCCAATACCAAGGACCACTGAAGTAAAAAAAAAAAATCTTATTTTTATTTATTAACTCTATTTAAGTATTAATATTCACTTTAAGCATTAGTTCTTTCCACATGTATATGTCCACCCAGTAAATATACATACCATACACACTGTTAAGTCTGATAGTATACGCTAGAATCTGGTAGCTATACTGGCTGTGGAAGCCACAGACACATTTTCTTCATTCTGTATTCTCTTTAGCCAACACAGTGCCTGACACATACTAGACACCTGATAAATATTTGTTAAATAAAATTTTAAGCAGAGAAAGAAAAATTAATTCCAACTATGAAACCAATATACTGACTGTGAATCTGAAACTTGAATTAGATTAAAGTATTTTTATTCTTAAATGCTTTAGAATTAAATACATGTAAACAAAACATCTACTTTAAAAAACTGAAAACTATACAATTCACATCTACCTGTATTTGAAGAAACATGTTAAAAATCTGCTTTTGGTTGAATAAAATGCTAGCTACCCTAACAAGTATAGTATAGCAAAAACATCTTCCTACAGCTATGGTGAATGACAAATGAAATATCTGCTTCAAAAAACTCTCACAGATAACTAAATTATCATTCTGATCGATGATGAATTTACTTGGGAAAACTAATTCATTTAAATATGCACTACACAGCTTATAAACCAATACTTAAATGAGTAAAAAGCTTAAGGTTATTTAAATATTATTAATACAACCTCTGTGAGAAAAGATTAAGTTGATTCATGACCATAAAGTTAAGCTGATGTAACAAATAAGTTCTAATATATAGTATCGTGAAATGAGTTTACAAGGAAAGCAGAAATAAAAACGTGCACTTAAATACATATGTACATTAAACTATGCTCCAAAATGTTTATTTATGTTCTTATAAATAAAAATAAATTTATAGGGACATTTTAATTTAAAATTTTTCTTATTTTAAATTAAAATATGAAACCACACAAAAATCAGGTATTAATTACTAAAAAGTTCAACTTGTCAGTAGGGTATGCTGGAACTTTTTTAAAAAAACTATACTCCTTTTCTTATTTTCAGCTGTTTATATATTAATATGTATGCATGTAGAGATGAGAATCTATCTCACTATGTTGCCCAGGCTGATCCTGAACTCCTGGCCTCAAGCAATCCTTCCACCTTGGCTTCCCAAAGTGCTGGAATTATAGGCGTGAGCCATCATGCCTAGCCTTCAACTGTTTCTTGATATTAATCCAGAATACATTTTTTATAACACAAAAATGAAATAACTATATTATTTTAAACCTTTTAAACAGCAGAATTATAGTGAACTACTTTCAAAAATTGTTTTTCAAAATGTAAATTGATCAAAATAAGATCAATGTGATATCAACATATATGTAATTGAATATCCCCACTTTTTTAAACATAATTTTCCTTTGACAAGTCACTTTAAAAAGCTATATCAATGATTTTTAAAGTCACATTGAAGTTCAATAAATCTGAGCATTAACATAATTTAAGATGTTAGATGTGTTATTTTCTCTTTACATATAATACTAAGAATTTTATCTAAAATCCAATAATGAACAAAGAAAATTTAGAAACATGACAACTACTATACAAAATTACTAAAACTACTATTATAAATTTGATTATTATTCTCAATTGTAATTTTAATAAATTTTAAAGCATCCTTAAGCTACTACTTTATAACTTCATTATAGATTAAATTTAAATGAAGTGCAATGGAAATAAACTTTTGCTTCAAGAGAGTTCTGAAATATAATTGCATATGATCAATTTATTGTATGTAAAAATTTTTTAAATAGTTATTTAAGTGGTAAATTCAACTATAAAAATAGCACATTACTATAAAATAAATCCTTAAAACAGATCATGTAGAGTAACTAAACAGAAAATATGATCATCTCTTATAGATGCATTACAATCAATAAAAAGCAATTTATTTCCAGGTGGAAAATATTCATACAATGTAATTAACTGTCGATTTTACTCACATTTTCAAAAAAAGTATATATGCACACATGTATATCATTAAATATTTTCAGATAATTTTATTTTTATTCAAAAGAGCCAGTGTGTTAAATTAACAAATTCTCTAAACAGCAAAGACAATATGAACAGATAAAATATATATTTTCTCGAGGCATCTTAAAGCTAGAATGCAACAATATTGCCATCTAGTGTTCATACCAAATAGGCACATCCAAAACAATTATATTTTTTGTTTTTCACTTAAAAATTAAGTGTGTGTAGGTTAAACACAAACTGCCACTCCCCTGGGCAAGAGCATAGTTTTGATAAATGAATAAAAGGAGAAAGAAGAAAAATATAAAATGCCACTAAGATTCAATGGAAAAAAAAATAAGGCATGTGGGATAAATATCTCTCCTTTTGGATGTGATTTCTGCCACATTTTGTTCTGGAACACAATATATATGTTATTTGATTTTTTTGGATCCATTATTGACCAAACTAAAGTAAAGATCAACTACTTAGGGCTGGTTTCATCTAACCCTATGTATTCCCACACCCTTTGTATTCCAAATGGGAATACTAAAATCAAGTTCCTAAGATTTTTGCCGTAAATTCATTTACAGCAATGTTTAAATATACAAAATTTATCATTTTGATTGCTAAATGTTAATTAGAAAAGATAACGAATAAAAAGAGCAGCAACTAAAATGGCCAAGACTGAAAAAAAATTAATTTCATTACCAGATAAAGATACATTTTGGGCCAAGTTATTTCCTTAACTACATTACTCACATTGCCAAAACCATAAAGATTAGTGACATTGTTCATCACAGTCAAAGCCTCAGAGCAGCTAGTAAATCTCTACATCAGAAACTTCCCGTTGTTTTTTATTGCTTTATTTGTTTTCCCCAGAGGATAAAATTGCTGAAGAGTTTATTTCTTTAAAAAAGTGCTCTACCAATCAATGTAAGATAAATATGTAAAATGCCAACAGCAAGGTGAGATGTGGCGACAGTAGAACTACTACTAATATCAGCACAACTACAATGACTGTTACGTCTACTACAATATAGTATCATCCATTTCCAAACAAACCTTTTGAATGAACCACAATTAGTGCAGTTGTAGCAGTTCACAAGTGTGTCTTGCTTTTTTTTTAGTTCTATAGCTTTCCTCAGTTATATTATCCTCTCTTCCTGAATATCTAACCTAAACTCCATCCTTTGGAAATAAGAAGTCAGGTAATTTTAATCTACCATTTTTCCATGTTCTCATTTTTGTACAATAAATGCATATCACTTATGCAAATTAGAAATATTTAAAAAACAAAAAAACTCCCACTAATTCTCCACAACCACACCCATTTTTCATTTCCGGAGAAGTCTTTCTTTCATCCTGCCCAATTCAGAAGTGGTCTCTTTCTGCTCTAAACTTCTCAGCAGCACTATCTAGCATTCATTTACAGCCTTATAACGTTATTTTTATGTACATGCTTTATCCTCTAGAATAAATTATAATACAAACATAATTTTGAGGCATCAGAGAAGTACACTCACATGCAATGCAAACACTTTCCTGCTCCATTCAGAAACACCATCTACCTCACTGCCCTATGCTTTAATTCTCAAATATTTTACTTGTTTCATACTGTAAAAGTTACTTAAGCTCTCTGACCTATTGTAAGGCTAACTGTTTACAATAAAAATCATAATACCTGCTATTTCAGAGTTACTGCAACAGTAAACACAAAACAAAAAAAAATTCATATATATGTAGAAAACTATTAATAAAGTACAAAGTTTGATTAAAAACTACTTTAATTTCTGACAACAGTTTTTCCATATATGGGGAAAAAATCCCTGTAATACATAGTAAAACTGAATTTAATTTTTAGAATTTTAGCATTAGGGATCTACCTACCTATCTAACCAGCTATGCAGCCTAAGTGGACTACCTTTCTTCAAGCACACAATAAATGTAGATACAATTTTCTATAAAAGCTGATTTTTATAAAAAGCATCTAAATTCATTGTTGAGAACATTAAGACTGTATTTTGTTATTCAAACTCTTCTTTAAATGAAGAATTAAACATTACCACCACTCATTAGATTAAAAAGTCTGGGGTCCAATTTATTCAATTAATTAATTAAAATGTAAATTTTATTATTTACATATCTCTAACCTAAAAATATATATACATAAAAGAAAACAATCATTGCAATATCTAACACGACTTTACTTTTCAATAAATATTCAATAAATTATTTTGCTTTTTCTTATATCTACTTGTACCATGTACTAAATATTGTTTTTCTGGACCATTTAAGAAATCTACTGCGACCATAATATTAATAAATTGATTTTTCTTAAAAAGTCAACTAAAAAACTAATGTTAACTACTTTAAAAAAAAAAAAAAAAAAGGTCTTATTTTCTATTTTTATGCTTTTGGTGCCACCTAGTGAAATTTTGAGAACAATTCTGAAAAATAGATTTTTTTTTTTTTTTTTAAAAGCATAATGTTCACCTGCAAAGTACATATGAGGAATAGGACATTGTAGATTACTTTATTACAAATACATTTTGTAAACATTCTCATTAAATTACATCATCAAGTCAGTCATTTAACTAGTAAGATAATTATGATCATTTAATTTTTAAAAATTTCTTTATTGAAAAGTCTCATTAAATTGTTTTTGTCATAAGATTAGACTTGTAAACATATGCAAATTCAATGATACCCCCAAAGAATCTATATTTGTAATTTTCAATTACCTACCAAGAACACAGTTAATTTTATGCTAAAATAATACATTCTGACCAAAAATCTAAACACTGGTACTCTACTATCTGAAGAATTCCACAAAGATGACAGATAATAACCGATGATTAAGCTTACCTGGGAGAAGATATTTGCTGTTGGAACAACTCTACTGTCCACGATACTATATAATATTGCTAATAATCTGTCTAATGGAAATGGTTTTGGTCCAAGGAGATGATTGCTTGTCTGTAAAAAAAAAAGGATTTGTTTTCTTATAACACAGCTTCACTTTCTGTACTGTAAATTCCCAATTTATAAAAAACAATATATTTATAATTTACATAGCTCTCCTAAAGATATTAGCAAATCTAACCTGCAATCTCTAAGTTAAAAGTTTACCCGGTATGATCACGATTTATTTTTTAACATACTCCTCAAGATTTCTGACTTAGTGTCAACAAATATTAAAGAAATTGCAATCATCCAGCTCAGTCTTGAACGTCACCCCTACTCTGCTGTTATAATTAGATGTTAAAATAATAAACACCACTATACTTACCACTCAATTCTGTCAAATCCTAATACTGTGTAATATGTGCAAAAAAATTAAACATCAGATCACATTACAGACAAGCTGAAGTGTCCTTGAGTCCTCTCCCATTCCATTGTCCCTATCCTTCCCTAGAAAGAAACACTATCTAGGATCTGAAGTACTCTCATGATGGTTTTTATACTTCCCCTACATATATGCCTACAAACAATATACAGCACTGTTTGCAGGATTTAAAATTTTATATATATTCTATCATTTTAAATATCTCTCTATCAATTGCCTTTTATCTTCAAATGGATTTTTTTTTTGAGATTTATCCATACAGACACTTGCAACTTTAGTCCATTTTTAAACTATCCTATGGAATTCTTTTTTATGACTATCTACTTTTAAAAATTCATCAGTGATATTCCTGTGGAGTTCCAAAGCTTAAAATGTTTAAATATTTTAAAATAAAAAATGGAAAAAAGAAAAAATTAATCACAGTTACAAATAACACTGTGGCTGACAATCTTGTACACTTCTCTTTGTGCCCATTTGTGAGTTTCTCTAAGTGAGATTGCTGGGTATAAAGCAGAGAAAATGCTGTGTTTGCCAACACTGTTTCTTCTTCTTGGGCATATACGAAGACTACATTTCTTAGTCTCACCTACAGTGAGATGGAGGTCAAGTCTGGCCAACAGAATATGAACAAAAGTGATGGAAGCTACATCCAAGCCTGGTCCTTCATCCTCTTTCCCTTTGGTGGCAACTTCAAAGGCCACCATGCTTTACTTAACATCACTATAAAATGAAACAGGGCCATCCAACTCATATTCAGTTATGCTGTGAGCAATATAAAAACTTTTGTTCCCCGTGGGTTTGAGACCCGCCTGGGCAGGCGAGACCTCATCTCTACAATAAAAATCAAAAAAATTAGCTGGGCGTGGTAGCGTGCGCCTTTAGTTCCAGCTACTTGGAAGGCTGAGGCGGAAGGATTACCAGAGCCCAGCAGGTCGAGGCTGCGGTGGTCAGGAGTGGCCACTGCACTCCAGTCTGGGTGATAGTGAGGCTCCAACTCAAAAAACAAAAACAAAAACAAAAAAACTTTTGTTCTGTAAAGCCACTAAGAGTTTTGGTATTTGCTTTTTACTACACTATAGTCAGCCTATCAATACTAAGTACATTCACATATTAACTTTAATAGATACTGTCAGCCTACAGAATGGGCAAGTTTTTATTTCTTCTACAGTATCACTAGCACTTGGAATCATCAGACTTTTTCAGTATTGTCAATCCAAGAGTGTGAAATATCTCACTGTTGTTATAATTTGCATTTCTTTCATTAGCAAACGAGCTAATAATCATGTCATGTTTATTAGACATTTAGGTTCCTTTTAACATCATTTTTCTATTATTATTGGTTTTTTATCTTTTTCTTATTGTTTTGTCCGAGTCTTTAAAAATTCTAGACATTAGTAATTTGTCTATTTATAAATTCAAGGACAGTGGTAAACATCAGTGTTGGCTTTGAAGTAAGGGAGTCCTGGAATTGGATCCTGGTTCTACCACATATTTAACTATGTAAGCTTGGGTAAGTTACTTAATTTCTCTTTAATACTTATAGTTTCCTCATCTAGAATATAAGGATAAAGACAGGAACAACATGCATTAAGTTACTGTGAAAATTAAATGAGATCATATGCAGAGTTTAATGTTTGGCTCATAAGCACTCAACAGGTTTTATTAATACTATTATGACACACATGTTTATATATTTTTCTTTTCTAGATAAAACTGTCTTGAAAACAGACATACTTTATTAACCTTTTTATGGGTGAATGGATTTTGGTAAGGAAACTTTCATGCCAAACTTTGGTACTGTGTAAAGAGAACAAAAGCCTTTCTGAGAATTTTTAACTAGAAGCTAGAACTAATGCCGATGCAGGGGAGAAATTCACAATATCTTTGCAGCCTGAAAATTAGACTGAGAACTGAATTTCAAATGATCCCAAGTTACTGGTGCTCCTAAGTGCCTAAACAGAAACAAAATGTGAGAAAACACACTTCAGACCTCAAAAATCGCGCTAAGTTCAGCCAACAATGAAAAATCATAAAATGTTGGCAAATAAGGCATCATGAACATAAGTCAGCAAAAAACAGAAAATGTGGAATTTGAACAATTAAGAATTCTCATACTGGAATATAAGATACAGAATATAAGGAGGACTCACCCCCCCCCCAAAAAATAAAATTATTGTTTAAAGGATGGGTCTTTTGTAATACAGGCTTTCCCTGCTAGGTAAATGTTCTAGGAAATCATCGGTTTTCGTGTTCCAGCTAGCATTGTTGTAAGAGGCTCCATCTGCCTTTAGTGAATTTTTTTTTGGAGAGTCTTTCAACACATTTGCTCATTTCATGATGGGTGATTTACGAGCACACCTGCCCACACTGTATTGAGTGTTCAGCAGTTTTTGACTAAAAATGGCATGACCCCTGTGTCCCACCCTCCCTATTCACCCAATCTTGCCTTGAGCAACTTTTTTTGTTTCCTCAGATGAAAAAAAATCCTCAAAGGGAACCATTTTACCAATGTGGAAGAGGTGAGGCAAAAGCAATAAACCAAAGCAAATAAAAGGCATCCCTAAGTTGACAAGTTCAAAAACTGTTTTGAGCAGTGGAAAAAGCATCTCAATACATATACTACATCAAATGGAGAGTACTTTGAGGGTGGCTGAAGTTTAAACATGTAGGAATAAATAAACGATTTTTTTATAAATGAATTCTGGATTTCTTTTGACCCCCCCTCATATAAAATAGTTGCTTTATAGTAAAGAAAAGTATGACTAGATAAAATATATATGACCAGACAGACTTGAAATAAGCTAACAGAACTTTTAAAATTACAAATAAGATCTTAAATTACAAAGTTAATATAAATAACAGAATAGACAAAGCTAAAGAGAAAATCAGACAGAACTGAAGAAATTTCCTGGAATATACTGTAGCATACATAGATCAGAGGGAATAAAGAATGTGAAAGACTTAACAGACAAGGAGGATAGAGTGAGAAAATCTAACATATGTTTAATCATGTATCAGAAAGGCATGTTAGAAAGAATGAGGAAGGAGCAATATTGAAAAACTGAGACTGAGAATTTATGAGAATTGAATAAAGGCATTGTTACTCAAATTCAGAAAGCAAAGCAAATCTCAAAAGAAATTCCATCTCAAACACATCACGATGAAACTATAAAAACATCAAAGGAAAAGGAGAGGAGAACCTTAAAGCAGCTAGAGAATGCACAGATGCCAAAAAGGGAATAGCAGACCAACAGTAGGTTTTTTAGCAGCAGCAATGAAAGCCAGAGATGACAAAATAATGTCTTCAAAGTTCTGAGAAAACGCTATCAGTTTGTATGGTAAACAAAACACCATCAGTTTGTATGGTAAACAAACCTGCTTTTAAGAATGAAAAAAACAAAATTCACACTGTCAATAGTGCAAAGTCTATAGTTCAAAATTGTCCATCTCCTACCAAGACAATCAGCACAAAGTCCATACAAAGTGGAGCAAGTGATCTGAACAGTCTAAATGTTCCTTTCACAAATTTCAACTTCGTTCCATCCCACCTTCAAAAGTATTTAGTGCCTCTAATTCCTAAGCTTTTCCAGATTCCTAAGGCCAAATCAGCCAAGGTTTTGGCTTAGGTTTTAGCCTTCTCTGATCTGCTTAGTCACCTAAATATCTACCCATTATACAATTCCAACTTCTGGGGGTATCTCATCTGCTTACTTTTTAAATTTACCTTTATTTCTTCAGTATCATTGTCATGGGTGTTTCAAAGGGGAAAAGAGGAGAATACTTGTATTTAATAAACTGTGTTTAAATAATCTAGGGTGATCTTTTTCATCTACTACTAAAAAAACTTTGTCAACTCAGTACTATCTCCAATACCAGCTCACTTAAATGTGCCTTCAATGTATTCAACATAACAAAATGCTATTTAGACTTCCGTCAAGATGGCGACAGGGCAGCCTGGTCTATGAAACCCTCTGCAAAGGAGAACGCAGAGAGTCTCTGGCTCTCTCCCTGGGGCCTGCGGATCCCAACGTGGGCAGCCTGCACAGAGCTCGGCACTGCCACCGCTGGGGCATCGCAGCGGTCTGCACAGCCACTGCAGCCGCAGACAGCAGCCGCCGGCGCTGCGCAACCTCCGTGGCAGCCATAGAACATCACGTCAACCGTGCCTGAGGCGATCCACGACTTCAGTCCTTGAAGCTACTGCAGGCAAGACCTGCTCTGATCGCTGCCACCTCTGCTGCCACCTTGACATCCTGCCGGCTGTGGGTATCCTCCCCTGTGCCCTGAGGCAGGCTTCCATCTCTGGCCTCAGCCTGATTCCTGTCCGGCTCCCCCCCTCTGGGGCCAGCAGCTGAGATAACACCACCTGCTGGCGATACAAGGTAACAACACCGAAAGGGGAGAAACAAGCTTAAAAAACAGACACAGGCCAGATTTGAGTGGTGAACGAAGGGTGATCTGAACTGTCCTTCACAGCAGGCCAGGGGCAACTGACCCTAACTGTGAACTAATTTACCAGCTTGAAAAGACAGCTAGAAATCAGAGCTGAAAGGACAGTGCACTTAAACGAAAAGTCTCAGAGTGTGCTCGATTGGTTCTGTTAGTTTAATGACTTAATTCTATTCCTACTGT